ACAGTTGTGTTGTTTTTAATTAATTCTTGTTTAAAAATGGGCAAGATCATATATTTTCACACCCTTTTTCAACATTTTCTTGATTGTATCTTGATAAAACTGACACAAAGGTGAAATTTTTCCCTTTTCCTCTCCTAATTTTCTTGATCACTTGTGCTGCACTTCTTCTACACTTCCTTTTCATAAAATTTTTGCAGTTCAAATTTTTATAAATTTGTTGATCCGAAACAGATGATCCGGGCCATATTAGTCTGCCGAAGGGAAGCAGTAGCCCTAGAGCAAGAAAACCGGTCCCTAATCGAGACCAGAATTGAGCCCCTCTCCCTAAAATTCGACGAGAAAGTCATAGTCGAGTCGAAGCTCAACGGATTCAACGGTTTTAGGGGCGTTTTATACGCTATGAGGAACGTGAGCTCACTCTTGCTCACAATCCTTCTGCACGGGCTCGTTTATTGCTGGCCGCAACCTAGCCTTTCGGAAAACGGGTTCGATCAAGGGCACTTGTTTTTTGGGTCGGCATTTATGATATCTACGGCCCGACTTCACCAACGGGTCGTTTCCGAGATTGATGTCGGGCTTTTGCTTTACGAATTTCGGAGGTCGAGGGCTGCCATGGATGAGCTGAGGTGTGAGCTTGAGAGATTGTGTTCACAGGGGAATTTGGAGTGGGAATGTGAAGTTGGGCTAAGGGAAAGAGTTGAGGGGCTAAAGTGCAATTTTGGAAACTTGAGGGTTGGGGTTGAGAATGTTGTTGGGCAGCTTGATGATTTTTTTGATGAGATTGTTGAGGGGAGGAAGAAGCTCTTGGATTTCTGCAGCCATAGGTAGGTAGGGGAAGTTTTTGAATTAACTCTTTTCTTGGGGGGGTTTTGAAGAAATTTGAAGGAGGTATTAAATTTTTACAAGTTTAGGGGAAATGTTAACTAGTAGTTTGGTTGGGTGTAGTATTTTGTTGAGTCTTCTGATTTGTATCTTTCTTNTGCAGAAAAAAAAAAAGATGATGATTTTGAGATAATCAAAGCATGAGAGTTTTAATGGATGAGATAAATCAGTAAATAAAAGTGGTGAAAAGGAAGTAATAAAGTAGGTTTTGTAGTGTAGAATTCAACCAAACATAAAAGGGGATCTCACTGTTTTATGTTTTTTCATTCCTCTTTATAAGTGGTGTGGAAATCTGGCTAGTCACCAGTAAGTCAAGCAATTTTGTTGGAATTGGTGAGAAATTTTTAGATGGTTGAAAATTAGGTAAAAATTCAACTACTTGAAGAAAAAAAAAAACATAATGCTATTTGTATAGATGATTGTGTTGTTGCTGCATCAGTAGTTGATTAAATTAGTTGAAAGTTAATTAAATTAACTCATTTAACTAGTTTATAGAATTAGCTGGTAGTGCAAATTGTTGGTAAATAATTCATTGTTTGATATGTAAAAAAAAACTAAAATATCAATCTCCTATTATAAAAGCTCCTATATTGAGCTTAAATAAAATCAACTTTTTAGGTTCAAATTATATTTCAAAACACTGTTTACCAAACAATAAAATTAGAAGTCTTACTAATTCACACTTGAATTCTAATTTGGATCCAAAATGTTTTACTTACCTAACTCCATTGTCTTGTACTTTATTGGTCTTTTGATTAAACCTTTCATTTTCTTGCATTATTTTCACAACATTATCATGCTTAGAATAAATAGTGCTGTGGTAAAATGATGAAAGTGTGAGGCTTTGGAACAGTATGAAAGACACTGTTAGATTCCTGGATTCGGCTTTAATGTTGAAAAAAGCAGATTGATTTCTTTTGCACTCTTGGGAAGCTTTTGTCTGATTCAGTTCCCTTTGAAAGCAATAGGTTTGATGATGAAAGTTTCATTTAGAAAAAAAGAAAAATTAAAAAAAATATATATTTTAATTTAAAAAATCAAACTCACTTCTAATAAAATCCTAATAAAATTATAAATATCCTCAACACTTGTTACCATTTTATTACATATATAGAAACCTAAATGAGTTTGTGCACTTCCTGAAAAAAATGCCATTTAACAATTCATAAATTAAGCCATTTTTTTTTTTCTTAACTCAAAATTTCTTTATCACACAGATAGAAAGTGATTGTACAGACATTATTATCAATACACACATAATTATACGGGTTCGTATTAATTTCACTATAAAAAGTACGATAGACTACAATTTAGCGTGTAAAATATCTACTCTGATCATTCACCAATAAAACTGTTCGATTACAGTTATCTGGTTTTTTTACTCTTGGATTAACACACATATGTCACATACTTGTGTGTTGATCTAATAGTAAAAAATATTCGACAAATGCACTATATTTGTTGATATAACCATAAAAAAAAAGTTGGGTGATAGTATGGTGAATTTTTCCAATTAGGAGAGAGAGAAAAAGCACACACATCAATTTCAAGATGATTTTATTCTCTTGCTGCCATTTTCTTCCCCTTTTTTAGGGTGGACTGTGCAGGTAAAAAAACAATATAAAAATAGTAATATAAAAACTTAAGTCACTTTCTAACCGGATCTCAAGCTTTTTGTCCCTTAACCAGAAATTCATGGGATGCCTGCCATGAGGAGTTTTGCTTAAATAAAATATAATTACTTCTTTGTCTGCAAATGAGATTTTTTTTTTTTTTAACTTAGTACTTAAATAAGTATACAAGAAAAATAATCCACAATCAAAAGAGTCAAAATACATCCAAAACAAGGGGCACAACTAATAAATAATTCCAACGTGGCTGCAATTTTGGCAACATTGATTATTTTATTTTGTTTTCTGTATTGGGTTTTGAATTTCAGCAATTCAACTAAGCCAGGTGAAGACATTGTCTCGGCAAATTAATAGTATATTCATATTCTGTAGGGTATTAGAATGCAACAACAAATGAATAATACCATAAAGAAGAAATAATTAAGAAAAATTACCAGAACAAGATAAATATCCCATAGGATCTCTTATACAACTTATCTAGTCTTAGTTTCAATGATAAGGTTGTTGGTAGATAGTTTAATAGTCATATTCTTTTATGTAAAGAATGCATACTTATTCTAGAACATGTTATACTTGTATTAATATTATTTTTTAAATTTAAATTAAGTATAAATATATTAACACACTCCAAATATTTGTGCATGATGACCGTAGTACGTTTTAGTAACTAAGGTAAGATTATTTTTAAAAATACGTTAGAGAGGTATTATTTTTTAACATATATAAAAATTTCATATTTTAAAAAATAATATAAATAAAAGCATGAAATTTAATATAATAATATATGTATATGTTTTTATTAAAATAGTACGACAACTCTACCCGTCAAATGGTTTGGAATGAGGAGTTTTTATTTTGGTAAATGCCTCAAATCGTTCCATTAATGAAAATATGCAGAATAGTGTAGTTGAATTAGTATTTTAAACAGCGTTCCGTAGCACATTCAACGTACACTATAATACCCATTTTCATAAGAATTAAGAATGTGATATCAATGTAGTGTTTGATACTTAGCATTTTTCCTAAAAAGCTTACGCAAAAATGCTAATATAGTACATTTTTTGCCGCTATTTCAAGCCATATATGTAACAACAATTAATCAGCAAAATATTTAAAAACTTGTATTTTCTATGACAACAGAGTCATTTTTCAACGACAACTAAAATTTCGAAATTTTGATATCAATTTTAAATTAAAAGTTAAAAAACTCAAATCTTAATGTAATAATTATCCATCTAGTTCTACTACATTATCTTATCTTTTTATATTTGATATTTAAATTATAGAATAAAAGTTCAAACTTATGGTTAGATTTAAATTTTAGTTTCAATTTAAAATTTTTAATTAACAATAACATGCACATACTTAAGATTAAATTATGAACTACCTTACTGTATTTTCATTGCTTATTTTTAGTGTTTCATTTTATTATTTAAGCATTCCTATGTAAGATATTTACAATAATTTTTTGTGATATAATTCTTAAATTTTTAATTTAATTCAATTTCAAACATTATGTTAATTTTTTAAACTAACACCTAATTTTATTTAATGCAAACATATCTGGCATTTCTATAAAAAAATATTTTTTTCATACTCAAATTACTTACGCAATAATACATAAATCTATTTGCATTATAGCATACAATGATCCAATTTCAAACGTGAAAAGATTGGTTTGAACCACAAAAAGATAAATATAAATAAATAAATATAAAAATGTCAAACCCCCATAAAGTCCATGAACATGACACGTGTCTTGTGCAAAACCCACTGTTACATCACTGCATTAAGTTAGCTGCTTTCATGCTTGCTCCAAAATTCCAAATTATGCAGTTGGGCTGCTTTAATTCCCTTAAATATCTACACACACCTTCACTTCAAACAAGAATTTAATGCAGTGGCCCTGCATTTCTTCAATGG